ATTTGCACAGTTTCACCTTTAATATGACACATTTATTTTCATAGTATTTCATTACAGTCTCCATGGACAATGACTTAGCAGAGAGGAATTCTCAGGGATTTTTGTTGTTGTTGTTGTTGTTGTTGTTTTGTTTTGAGATGGAGTCTCACACTGTCACCCTGGCTGGAGTACAATGGCAAGATCTCGGCTCACTGCAACCTCCACCTCCAGGGTTCAAGCGATCCTCCTGCCTCAGCCTCCCGAGTACCTGGGATTACAGGCGCCCACCACCAGGCCTGGCTAATTTTTTGTATTTTTAGTAGAGACGGGGTTTCACTATGTTGGCCAGGCTGGTCTCGAACTCCGGACCTCGTGATCCACCCGCCTCAGCATCCCAAAGTGCTGGGATTACAGGCGTGAGCCATCATGCCCAGACTAGGCATTCTCAGTTTTAATGGTTGCTTAGCAATGTGCTGAACCGGCACTTTTCCTTTTTTTTTTTTTTTGAGATGGAGTCTCGCTTTGTCTTCCAGGCTGGAGAGCAGTGGCGCAATCTTGGCTCACTGCAATCTCTGCCTCCTGGGTTCAAGTGATTCTCCTACCTCAGCCTCCAAGTAGCTGTGATTACAGGTGCATGCTGCCATGCCCAGCTAATGTTTGTATTTTTAGTAGAGACAGGTTTTCACCATGTTGCCAGGCTGGTCTTGAACTCCTGACCTCGACCAGCACATTTCAATGCAACTTTCTGGGATGCTATGAGGCTTCTCTATCTGTGTCGTCCAGTCCGGTAGCTCCCAGCCACACAGAGCAATAGCACTTGAAATGTGACTAGCATAACTGAGGAACTGAATTTTAGAAGTATTATCTTTAAATAATTTGCATTTAAATATAATTATCACATGAGACTAGTCGCTACCATATGGCACAGTGAAGTGCTAGACACTGCCCACTTAGGACTTGTGCTAGACCAGTGCTGTCCAACGGAAATATAATGTGAACAACATATGTAATTTAGTTTTTTCTAGTAGTCACCTTAAAATAAGGAAAAAGAAAGAGGGTGAAATTAATTTCAATAATATATGTTATGACTGACTATTCAAAATATTATTTCAACCTATAATTAATTAAAGAATTAATGAGATATTTTACAGTCCTTTTTTCATGCTAAGTCTTCAGCATTCGGTGTGCCTTTTATAATTATAACACATCTCAATTTAGACTGGCTATATTTTAAGTGCTCAACAGCCACATGTAGCTAGTGGCTAACATATTGGACAACATCACACAGATATTAGCCACCCTGAGGCTAACATTTCCATCTATAACATGAGCATGCTTATAGCAACAAGAATCAAAAACACTCTTGTCTTTTAACTCGGGGTGCTAAACAATGTTAAACATAAACACCAAACTTGCTATATTTATTTTTACTAAAGTATACATAGCTATGCAAAATATTTGGTGTTTCCTTTTAAAAGATGTTTCTTGTTCTTTTGCTTTGAATTAAATCCACTAATTTCACCATGTCAATATTTACTGCTAATTATACAAGAACATCTACAACTTAAAGAAATGCAATGTGTGTATCATAGAATTCTTAAGCTCAGTGCCTACTAATTTCCATATCAATAATTTCCATTAGTGTAATGGGACACAATAGAAGCTGCTCCTGGAATAGAAATGGGTAATGAAGAAAGCAATTATAGAGAATCATTTGGCAGCAAAGTAGATAACCAATAAGCCAATGACCTGATCAATGGGTATTAGATACATTAAATGCAAAAGATGATCCTGAAGTGTCCATTAGCAGAAATTCTACAAATAAATTACCTAAAACTAATCAATACAGCCTGCTCACAATGTAACCTATAATAGTGGATTCAGAAGCAATTTCAAAAATGTGCGCTGCTCACACATGAATGTCTTTTCTACTTCTACTTTTACATTGCAAACCATACCTTTCCCAACCTCCATCTTAAGTCCCCTCTTTAAGACTTTTTCTATAATAGTTTGTTGTTTCATTTTTACCATGCAGTAAGAAGAAATGGATAAAGAGAGTCATGTGGGTTTTCTGTCTCTCCAGGACACACCTTGATGAAACATGACTAATATTTGCTGATGGCTTTGAAGACAAAACTATGATGTTACAGCCTTTGCTTTTAAAGGTAGAAAGAGAAGAAACTTGTGAGAAAGTTAGCATGGGGGTATGTAATGGGAAGCACCAGTTGTAAAGATCAGATGGTTGCCTATTAAACTTGGACAGGAAATTTGTTTTGTCATGATTGTCCAGAATGTCAGCTTGACTCCTCACTCCAAAAAGGGAAACAAAAGACAATTCTTGTGTCCTTGTGTGCCGCCAGATTGATCAGAATCGTTCCTTCCACTTTACAACAGTTCATGTAGTTTGATTTTGTATGCCCTGTAAGTGTTTACACATTACAAAGTTAGTCGACTGGGAGAGGACAGGATAATGATCTTACTATTATATATTATTTAACTGGCATTAATCTTTCATTTGACTCTTTGGCAAGAGCAAGAATTTTCTTTGCTCATGAAAGCCATCAGGAGTGTGCTACATATGCGCTATACTCACTTGTGAAAGGCTGGCCCTGCTGCCAATTAGCTTGATGCCAGGATAGACACAGGAAACCCAGAAGCCTCTTTATGCCTATTCTCTTTTCACCCTTCACAGTATGGCTGGAAAGGAATCAAAGACCTAACATCTCCTGAAGTCCTACTATGTACCAGGCACCACACTAGGCACAGGAAGATAACATCAAATTTTGTTGGTATTTGTTTCCACAAAGGCATTGTTAGTGATCAAAAAAGGGCATTATTTTGAGCATAGAGAGGAGAAAAAAAATCCCCTGCCCTTTCCAGTAGCAAAATCCTGGAATCTCAAGATTCTAGAAGAAAATGTCAGCAGCGCCCTTTGATATTTTTTGTTCCTAAGGAAGGAAAATAATCTAGTGGTGGTGAGGCAGGTGGTTGTTTGCTCCTTTCTAGGTAACGGTAGTTCTATCACTAGGTCTCAGGATTAAGCTTCTTAAGATGAGGCTAGTAAAAGCCAGAAACATTAGACTTTCACAGCAACAAATAATATTTGGTCTCAAGAGCTAGAAGTTCTAGAAAAGGGAAAGAGCCCTTTAGTTGCACACATAAAAGTAAGTAACATATCCATCATTTTTAAGAAAAATTATGCAATTAATATTAATATAAAAGTTAATGTGAAAATAGAATATTTTAAAAACTAAAACCATGACTCATACAAACAGAAAATGAACACATGTCAAATATTTTATTTAACTCATTAATTAATGAGGAAAACAGTAAGACGTTATAACAGGTTCAAAGGAAATCAAAGAGTAGATACACATATGGGCAATGAAGAGTGCCGACAGCTGAGTGTGGTGACTCACGCCTGTAATCCCAACACTTCAGGAGGCCCAGGGAGGAGGATTGCTTGAGCCCAGGAGTTTGAGAACAGCCTGGGCAACCCAGTCAGACCCCATCTCTACCAAAAATGTAAAAATCAGTTGGGCTTGGTGGTTGGTGCCCATAATTCCTAGATGAGGCTGAGCAGGGAGGATCTCATGAGCCCAGGAGCTCAAAGTTGCAGTGAGCAATTGCAACTATGATCACACCACTGCACTGAGGCCTGGGCAATAGAGTGAGACCTTGTTTCAAAGAAAACCAAAAACACCACCAAAACAAACCAACCAACAAACAAGAAAGCTGACAAATTTGTTTAAGAGATGCAAAAACTGGCTTGAGGGGAAATAGTAGGGACAATTTTCAAAATTCATTGCATGTTGTAGTAACCAGAATTCTAAGATTCCTACCCCTCAGTGTGCATGCCCTGCATAACTTCTTTTTTTTTTTTTTAGACTGCAGAATTTCTTTTTCTTTCTTTCTTTTTTCTTTTTTTTTTTTTTTTTTTTTTTTTTTTTTTTTTTGAGACAGAGTCTCGCTCTGTTGCCTAGGTTGGAGTGCAGTGGTGTGATCTTGTCTCACTGCAACCTCTGCCTCCATTGTTCAAGCAATTATCCTGTCTCAGCCTCATGAGTAGCTGGGACTACAGGTGTGCACCATCATGCCCAGCTAATTTCTGTGTTTTTAGTAGAGAAGGGGTTTCACCATGTTGGCCAAGCTGATCTTGAACTCCTGACCTCAAGTGATCCACTTGCCTCGGCCTCCCAAAGTGCTGGGATTACAGGTGTGAGCCACCATGGCTGACCCCCTGCAGAATTTATTCTTCTTGAGTGTGGGCAGGACTGCGAGTATGATGGATTTCATTCTCATGATTAGGTTACATTGGTCGACAGAGGTGAAGGGAATTTGCAGGTGTAATTAAATGTTTGAGACAAATTAATCAAAAAGGAGATTATCCTGAGTGGATATGACCTAAATCAAGCAAACCCTTAAATGAAGAGATTTAAAGTAGGAAAGATTCTGCTGACCTTTGAGAGGCAAACTGCCAAGTTGTGAAGGCCACATGGTAGGGAATAGCAGGTGGTCTCTAGAAGCTGAGAACAGCCCATGCTGACAGCCAGTAAAAAATCAGGGGGCCAGGCTCGGTGGCTCACGCCTGTAATCCCAGCACTTTGGGAGGCTGAGGCGTGTGAATCACGAAGTCAGGAGATCGAGACCATCCTGGCTCACATGGTGAAAACCCGTCTCTACTAAAAATACAAAAAATTAGCCAGGCATTGTAGCACGTGCCTGTGGTCCCAGCTACACGGGAGGCTGAGGCAGGAAAATTGCTTGAACCCAGGAGGCAGAGGTTGCAGTGAGCCGAGACCGTGCCACTGTACTCCAGCCCGAGCAACAGAGGAGACTCCGTCTTGGAAAAAAAAAAAAAATTAGGGACCTCAGTCTTAAACCACAAGATGAATTCTGCCAACGAAATGCACTTAGGAGAGAAACCCAAGCCCAGGACCACATCATGATTTCAACCTGCTGATATCCTGGGCAGAAAACCCAGTTAACCTGTGCCTGGACTCCTGACCCACAGAAAATATAAGATAACACATTTATGTTATATCAAGTTGCTTAGTTTGTGGTAGTTTTTTTTAAAACAGCAACAGAAGACTCATACAAATGTCCACGGAAAATAATCACTTGCATTGCATTCAGTTAGCTGCAACTTACAAAGCTGTAAAATTGTTCAAGGCAGTGAAGAAAGTGCAGCAATCCCACAGAATCAAACACCCTGGAAGGTTGCCCAAGACAGCACGTAGATTTTCATTGAATGTACTCAGTAATGCATTTGGTCCATTTCAAAGTCCTTCCATACAGTGAAAAATGTTTCATTTAGTTAAGTGCTTATTTCACAGACAGTATTGCTTTGTTTTCTTTTTATTTAAATAAACTTTTTTCCCCTGAATGGATTTTAGACTACACTTTGCTTTTTAAACATTGAGGGGTTGGTGGGGGTTGGCTAGCTTTCAGAAGTTGCAGAGTGGAGACCCTGTCTTTAGAAACAACCAGGAGGTCTGAGCCTCACCGCACACCAGTCATTGCTGGGAAAATGGACCTGGGCAAAATGGGACCGAGAGGTTGGTATTTTATGTGCAGTGAATGCTAAGGCTGATTGTATCCATTCATCTGTTTATTCACTCAACAAACAAATCCAGTACCTACATGGGGGAGAATTATTTAGTAAAAATAATGATAGCTAACACATACAAGCTCTTACTATGCATTAGTCATTGTTCTAAGCACTTTATTCATAGTAACCTATAGAATGTTCACAATAACCCAGTGAGGTACGTACTATTATTATCCCCGTGTTATAGATGATGAAACAAGCAGAAAAAGGTTAAGTGCCTTTCCCAAAGCCCCACAGCTGGTGAGTGCCAGAGCTGGGATTCACACTCATACCGTCTGGGTCCTAGCTCTCATCCCCCACATGGTATCATCTTTGTAGCTAGGATCTCTTGAGCCTGGACACCAGCCACATCTGCTGGTGTTTCTGAAGTATGCCTTACTTTACAATTTACTTCTGTTTCCCCAAAGCTTCAGTTTTGTCCGTAGTAATAGTCCATCTTCAGCCAGACGACAGGAAATTAAAAAATTTTTACATTTTCCTGTAGCCACAGTGTGTGGGCATGCAGATTGTACACAAAGTAAGACTAAGAGTTATTTTACTATCCTTGCAAATCTGTCACCCATTTAAAAATGCGTCTTTGCTCAACTCTGAGCCTTATTTCTGCTTTCCTTTTGAAGAAGTGTATTTTCTCCTCCGCGTGTTGTGTCTTACAAACTATACTGCTCATCTCCCTACTAGGATTCAACCCCAGGCATAAGCTCTGTGGTGGCGAATACCCTGCAGCTGCCTGCAAACAATAAGTAATACAAAGGATGACTGAGGGTTTCAAGTTTCCTGTTTACAGCCTCCATCCAATGGAGATCTCTCCGGGAGAAATGTAAGGCTGGCAACAGATTAATAAGGGTTCAGTTATTTTACAAGGGAGAACAATGGTTCCTCTGACCACTTTTGATTCATTCCATCCCTGGTTTCCATGGAGCATCATCATAAGAGGATCTATGTGTGTGTCAATAGAGTGGCAGGAGAGAAGCAGCCCAGGGCACACAAGGAAGGAAGCATCTGCCTGGTGAGTCTCCGTCGGAAAGAGAACATCACCAGCTCTTGGGATCCAGTTCCTGTGCGGATGGGCTGCTCTGCCAGGGGAAAGATGATGTGTAGAGTGGATGACACAGTTCCCACTCTGCAGTCTCATTCTTCCCTCCTCAGGAGAGCTCTCCCCTCAATTCTGTTCCCTTTTCAGGCTTATTCCTGTCTCCATCCTTCCCCTTTTATTGGGGCTAGTTGGAAACGCAATGTAGCGAATCAAATGTACCTCCTGAGCTGCCCCTCAGGAGAAAACAGTTAAAGAAGAATTTTCTTGGATTGGCCCTGGAAGTCAGGGATACTATGCCAGACACCTGTTCCTTTTTGGCTGTCCAGAATCTAATCCCCCTTCTGACAATTCCACCATCCCTTCTTCTTTCTACCGGGATGACTCACCCTGCCTCAGGAGTAGGGCATGTGATTTACGTTTAAGCCCATCAAGGTATTGCATTTCCTTGGACTCCAATGATTGGTTCATTGATAATTATGTGACTTAATTAGCGCCAATTAGAGACACCGTGAGACTTTTGCAGGGAATTCTGGGAA